CGATGAGCTTTGTAAAAATCGACGCGTTTCAGAGAGGCAGGGCATAGAGGAGCAACAATAATGTACATTATGTGGAAAATAATGTTTTTTGAACCTTAAACCGCATAAACACATTTCATTACACCAAATACACAATATAATGTTCTTTTTAGAAACTTCATATGACCCCTTTAAATATCGCAGGCTAAAAAGTAACTAGTAACTAGTACTCTTGAGTAGTTTTTGAAAGGAATACTTTGTACTTTTACTTAAGTACTGTTTTGACACCAGTACTTTTACTTGTAATTGAGTATTATTTCAGCAATGTTACAGTACTTGTACTTGAGTACAAATTTTCAGTACTCTTTCCACCACTGCTGATTGGTCATTGCATTCATAAGCGCAACAGCATCGTGTGTGATTGGTTATAATGTGCTGTAAAAACGCGCATGTCTCTGCCTCAGCGCTAGCCAGCGAACGCAGATTTAAATTTTTAGAACCTGATATGACGCGCTGAACGATTTAATCATGCTGGTGTGATTGTATCAAATATAGAAAATATTATTCTGCTATTTTTTGTCTTTTGGAAGCTGCATTCAAAATCCCCTTGGCTTAAAACTCTGAGGGGGCACGTGCCCCCTCACTTTGAATGGGCATGACGCCTCTGAATCACACTACCAGGACGTGGTACCGTGAATCACGTGAATGAATGCAAGCGGAGTCATCCTTCTCGGGGGTTATCAACAGGGTTGGGCAAGTACACTGGTTATCAATATGTGCCCCACACATTATTAGGTGTGTTCGACTTGAAGCAGCGCTGCGCAGAACGATCAGTGTGTGACATCAAAGTACCACGAGGGCGATTCGAAAGCATAAGGAGCGTCTGCTCTCTAATAGCTCTCAGGGTACTTCAGGCGCTTTAGCACTGGAGGAACCTTTTCATAGTTCCTAGAACTATTGACGGAAGTTCACGCTTTTGATTTTTGATTTCACACCGATCGGTCTGTGCAGCGCTGCTTCAAGTCGAACACACCTAATAATGTGTGGGGCACAGAGCATGTCTGGGGAGGTGCGCAGAGTAGTAGAATAATAATTAATTATTGATTATTAATTTGAATCAGTACATTATAATGAAAACAATACCTTTAAAAATGAAAAGTACGTTTTTGCGATCACACCATTTAAAACTGGTAAACTCCTGGAAAGTCGAAGGATCCAGCAAGCGAATTCAAACAGTAAGTTCAAAACAGCACTATATGCAGAGAAAACCCGACCAATTTCACCAGAGACGTCCTGGTGTCAGTAAATTGTTCTTTTCAGCGTGTTTTTGGCTTAAAAGCAAGAGTGTTTTATAATGGATGCTGGCTGAAGGTGTTTTAGATTATAGAGTGGTCAGCATTTTAGTGATTCTGAATGGATCCGTATAGTAGTAGTCAGGTCAAAGCAGGAGCTTTAGTAGTCTTTGGCGTCTCCCTGTGGTCCTGTTTGGTATCACAGCTTGACTTGTGCTTATTTTTATTGAAAACGTTTAATTATTGATTGTTAAAATTGATAAAAACTAAAAACTCATCTCTTTCGTCACCATCTGACCTCATCCTAAAAAAAAAAAAACCTTTGCTTCTCTTTACTTAATCCCCAATCTAGGGTGTACTTATTTGAACAATGCCTGAAACTTGGTATTATGAGCACTTCCTGTGTCTATTTGCCTCTTTAAGATGATTCGCTTGATGTATTCCCCAATTGTAAGTTGCTTTGGATAAAAGCATCTGCAAAATTAATAAATGTAAATGATTGATTGATTGAGGAACTATACATAAATAGTGAATTATAAAATGAATTATTTATTTAATATTTATACAAACAATAATAAATAAATTTATTGGG